GTGGAGAGAGGTGGATAAGTTTTATTTTATTTTATTTTTTATTTTTAAGTAATTTATTTATTTATGAATTATTATCATAACTATTATTTTGACTGATTTTTTTTTATATTTTTATATTTGTTATTTATTATTATTATTATTATTATTATTTTGGGCTATTACACGAGTAATGGGAGCTTACGTTAACTAAATTAGGGACTCCGGCGTAGACCAACCAAGTGAATGGTCTTACTATAGGATAAGCTAAAAATTGTATGAGTTATGATGATGTATGAACTGTGTCGTACGATGCCGTATGTTAATATATGACGATGTACATCGTATGATGTCGTATGTTAGTATATGACGATGTATGAGTTATGATGATGTATGAGCTGTATCATATGATGTCGTATACTAGTATATGAAGATATGTGAGTTATGATACTTGATGATGTGCGTAGTATATATATATATATATATTCCGATGAATGATGTACTTGATATGCTTGATGCACTTTATGACAATATGATGAGTATAATGATTGTGTGACATTTACTTTAATATGATGATGTTTTCCATATTGAGCATGCTATATGATGATGAGTGTCATATTGCATCATGTCGTTAGATCGATATAGGACACAACCCTAAGAGCATGAAAATGACGTTAATATAAATATTCATGAGTATGTGTTACAACAAGGACATGAGACTAGAGGGTAGTGTCAAGAAGAGACATTACGATGGATTTAGAGGACCGCATGTATATTGTATGTTCATAAGCACATGCTACTTCCCGTAAAGATGATGAGTGCAGACGCGAAAAATATGATGATGAGTGTGAAAGAATACGCACCCTATGATGATGAGGGTGTTCATGAGGGGCATGACACTACAGGGTTCTGCTGACTCTGGTCTTCGTTCCAAATTTGTAATAGTTCAAATAAATAAATAAATAAACAAATAAAAATTATTATAAAAAAAATTATTATGTTAAAAATAATAATAATAAATTAATACATAAAAACCATTATTTCCCATTTCTCTCCACTAATTGTGGTCCCTCTAATAATCACTCCTCAACCCAGTTCCTCCCAAATATAACAAATATAACAAAAATGTAAAAATGTAAGATTTGAGAAAGCAGAAATGCAACAAAAATGCAAAAATGTAAGATTTGAGAAAACAGAAATGCTCAAATTTATATAGGAGATGGTGAAGATTTACTCGAGAGATTGATGGTGAAGATTTACATGGGAGAGAGATTTGAGATTTGTCTATCTCATATCTCCTTTTCTTTTATTCCATTATTTAGTTTTATTTAGTAAATAGAATCAATCAAATTTACCAAAATAATTGCTAACGTAATTGAAAATTTAACATACAAAAATAAAAAGAAAGGTTTAAGCACATTTAACGCATCAGACGGTTGAAATTTAGTTGCTAGAAATAGATATTGCAGAGGTTATTATTTTTTCTTTTATTTTATTTTATTTAATGATATTAATTTATTAATTTGGTCACAATTAGTTAGTTTTGAATTAAGTAAATGGATTAAAAGATCGGCTAAAATTAACCATTAAGAAGGAAACAAACACAGAGTAAAAATTGTGCATATTATTAAAAGGAGGGAACACAACAAACACAGAGGAAAGATTGTGAATATTATTAAAAGGAGAGGAAACACAGTCCGAGATAGGGAGGGATGATTCTGAATATAATTGAAATTATCTGGAAAGTGTTTACGATATGATATGATTATGATACGACATGTGAATGACAGATATATATATGTTGTCATATGATATGAAATATGTATGGTACGAGATATATCTTTAATGAAAGTTCGATTCCGTCCTTTGAAATCCGGGTCAACCTATATGAGCCCATGACATTAGTTTTGGGTTTGAACTCTACAACATTATTTCTCTAATTTACATTGGTTCATTGTTAAAAGTCTTGAAATATTATATATCTATAATTATATTTTTATTAAAAATCTTATTTTTCATGGTTACTATTGTATAAGAAAGTAGATTTGAACTCTACAACATTATTTCTCTAATATACATTGGTCCATTGTTAAAAGTCTTGAAATGTTATATATCTATAATTATATTTTTTATTAAAAATCTTAATTTTCATAGTTACTATTGTCAGTTATTTCAAGTTATTCTGGGATTTACTACCTCTATCTCTATGTATTTATTCTTTATATTTACCTTTCTCTCCATATTTAGTTTGTGGTTTTTAATTTCTTACACTTTTGTTTTTATTGGTTGCCTTTTAATTTTGTTCTCATATATTACAAATCTCCGTTTCCAAATCTTTCCTTATCTCAGTGTTTCCTGTTCAGAAGTTTTATTAGTCATTCTATTTTTAATCTATTCATTTACCTACTGATAAAAATTTAATCTAATGCTAATATAAGGTGATGCTAACATTCATATAAATGATAGACATTTAGTTTCTAACTCAATGCTAAACCATTATAATAATTCAATGGAGATCTAACTATAATTAGCTGTGATTTCTAAAAAAAAAAATAGGATAAAAGAAAAGGAAAATTTAATATATACATCATATCTATCTACAGGTAAGTCTACTGTGAATCTCAACTGGGTGATGGTCATTCTTTTTTTCTTGTTAATTTCTTGGGTAAGGATGGGTTGAGGAGAGATAATTCTGAGAAGGGACAAGGGTTAGTGGAGAGAAGTAAGGAAATGTTGTTTTTTGTTTATTTATTTATTATTCTTATTTTAGCCATTTTTTTAATAATTATTTTTATCTGTTTACTTCTTTATTTATTTTTGGGTATTACATTGTATACCTCTAAAAGAAACTTTCATCCTCAAAAGTGTTTTAATCTTGGAATAACTCGGGTCCTTATTCTAAGAGTTCTTTGTTAAGTCTTCAAGTACCAATGAGTAAAAATTCTTAATAAGTATACCCTAATCCATATGAGTCGTAAACATTTATTTGTATGCATCAAACTTTCGTAAGCCTATCACTCGGTATTCATGGAAACTTTGATTTCTTATAAGGTGTCTTGCTGGATAGTTACATATTTTAAATCTTGATTCATACT